TTACATTGAAAGTGGATTTTAGGCTCGGCGCCTGTGGCTCAAGCGGCTAAGGCGCCAGCCACATACACCTAAGGTGGCGGGTTGGAATCCAGCCTGGACCTGCCAAAGAACAATAATGGCTGCAACCAAAAAATAGCCAGGCATTGTGACGGGCGCCTGTGGTCCCAGCTACTTGGGAGGCTGAGGCAGGAGACTCGCCTGAGCCCAGGAGTTGGAGGTTGCTGTGAGCTGTAATGCCACGGCACTCTACCCAGGGGCTCAGCTTGAGGGTCTGTCTCAAAAAAAAAAAAAAGAAAGTGGATTTTAAGCTTAGCTTTGGATAATGGTTAAAAGTAAATAGACAGAGAAAGACTAATACTTATAGAGGGGAGGTGCTAAGAAAATAAGCTCAATGTGAGATAGTTTGGAAAGGGATGTGGCTAAAGAGGAAGTTTTGATAGGAATAGTATGAAAAAGGACTCAAAGCAGGTTGAGGGACCTTAAATGCCAGGCTAAAGATTTTGTGATAATATAGTATAATTGATAATCTGTACTGAACATTTATCACTTGACAGACCATTAAGTAAAAGAGCCAAGATTTAAATGCAAGCTGTTCAAATAGAATTCCTGCTCTTAATCACCACACTGCTCTGATGCTAGAGTTTACGATATATTGAACAGATGTCAAGCCCAGGAGTTTATTTTACATTTCAAGTAATGTAGTAGTTTTTAAAGTTTAAGTTAAGAAATGAATGTATCTAGATATAACATCTCATTCTTGTTCCTACCACCTGTATACATCTTTAGCAAAAAGCATTAAATTAAGATGTTTGTGCTAATGGCTTTTAACTCTGCCTATTTGTCTATACTCAGTTGCCTGCTTTTCTTTATTCACTGGGTCAGTTATTCTGAGTTAACCCTTATCCCTAACATCCAAATTATGTCAATCCATTGTTAACTGTAGTTCAGTTCAGAGTATAACTTCTGGACCAGGAAGAACATCAACTAGAACTTATTAAAAGTCTCAGTTCTGGAACCTCATCCTAGACTGACTGAATCAGAAACTGGGGATGCCGTATAATAATGTATTTTAATGAGCCCATTAGACAATTACAATGCATGTTGAAATCTGAGACCCATTGCTATAGTCTACTCTAGAGTTTCGGTTTGGGAGTGAACTACTAAAAACTTTTTGGCAGTCCCTGGGGGGATATGGCAGCAGCCCATATGCCGTACTGAAGGAACAGCAGAGGGAGAGCTCAGGACATATCACAGGGACTGGGAATCAGTTTGGAACCTGAAGAAGAAAAGGTCTATATGTGTGTGTATGACAGAGACAGCAATAAGAAAGAACTTGTTTTGGCAGCAGTCTGTGAACAACAGAGAGCTATGGAATATGTTTCAGAAGAGCAGGGCAGAAAAATACTATTGGAGCAAAAGAAAGGGGAAATATAAGAGTGCCTTTGGAACATGGAAGCAGCACATGCACTCACATCGTAAAGAATTCATCCCAGGGTGATGCCTGTGGCTCAGAGGAGTAGAGTGCCAGCCCTATATGCCGCAGGTGGGGGGTTCAAACCCAGACCTGGTTAGAAAAAGAAAAGAATTCATCCTCTTCAGTTGTCTTGCTGATGTGCATTTGAAAGTGTAACTTTTTTGATTCCTCCAAATGTGATACATTATTTGTTTTTTATAACATTTGATTAGAAATGTTTACATTGACTAAACCATGAGGTACATTAAATATCCATTTTTTAATTATATTTTATGTGTTTTTGATTATTAAAAAATTCTAGTAAATTGTAACCAAATGAAAGGCAGTTATTGTCCAATATTGATATTCCTTTTCAAGAGACATTATAGCAGAAAACTACCCAACAGTCATTATATGAAGTAGATCTATAGTGAGAATAGCTATGAAAATGTGCTTTAAAACAAGAACTCTCATCTTTGATGGCTAACAGGCTTTTAGATGAAGTGGTTTTTAACTATGAATCTTGTAGGCACCTCTAATCTCTTTCATGCTCTTGTTAGGTCCCAGAGTTTCCCAGTCCATTTGGCTTATATATAGCCCTGGTTATTCCAATTTGTGTTCATGCTCTGCTCTTTCTCTTTATTGAGTCTGAAGTTTAGGAAGAAAGGGACCATATAGCTCATCGATTTTTTTAATTATTATTTTTTTATTGCTGTTGTTTTGGTTTAGAAAGGAAGGAGGTAAAGATTTTGTGTACTATTAGATATGTAAGAAACTGAAATTCACATACATAGTATTTTGTAATGCCTTATTTATTCCTTTTTAAATTTTTTTTTAATTTTTGTTGTCTTAAATAAAGTCCTATGGCTTCATAGCTCACAGCAACCTCAAACTCTTGAGCTTGAGCAATCTTCTTGCCTCAGCCTTCTAAGTAGCTGGTACTACAGGTGCCCACCACTGCACCTGGCTAGTTTTTCTATTTTTGATCCTATTTTTCTATGGGATCTTGCTCTTGCTCAGGCTGGTCTTGAACTCCTGAGCTCAAGCAATCTGCCTGTCTCAGCCTCCCAGAGTGCTAGCATTATAGATGTGAGCCTGGACTTATTACATATTTCTTAACTTAAATAAAAAGGTAGATGATTTCCTTCTTGAATAAAATTATATGGGAACAAAGGGGATCTAACTCCACTGCTGGGAATATAATACATATGAAGTAGTATGTAAAATATATTTTGTTTATCTTGGATGTGAAGTCTCAAATTGAAGAAAATTTTCCTTGCTACAATTATATATGTTTAACAATAGGCAAATTATACTTCTCCCTTTTTCAAACTACATTCATTTTTTTAAATGCTTTAACAAAGATACTGAAACATAAAGTTCCTTCTAGTTATAAAGTGTGGCAGGGATAGAGTTGACATTGTTATGCAAATTTTTTGACATGTCAGATAAAATTCCTTCCCACTTCTATTTAAAGTACATAGTGCAGTTGTCCCTCTGTATGTTGGTTTCTCTACAAACTGCAGATTGAAAAACTTGGGGGAAAAGAAATGGATGGTTGCATCTGTACTGACCATGTATGGATGTTTTTTATCATTACTCCCTAAACAATATAGTGTAACAAATATTTACACAGCATTTATATTGTATTAGGTATTATAAATAATCTAGAGATGATTTAAAGTATGACAATTGTGTGTAGGTTATATGCAAATACTACATTTTTTATCAGGGTCTTGAGCATCTGTGGAATTTGGTATCTACAGGGGTCTTGGAACTAATCCCCCATGGATACCATGGGATGACTGCACATTTAAAATTGACATTTCCATAGCTATATGACTAGGATGTACTGGGAAGGTACACGTAGCCTGAAATTCCTGCCAAGATAACAGTGCTTGACCAAAGTTAGCTTCTTTTTAAAGAGGTAAAGTCTGAAGGTAGGATGATAGAAACTTTGTAGAATCTTACTTTGGTCACAGTTGTTATTATTGTTTTTATAAAATATAATGGAATAGTGAAATGCTCAGCAATGGAATGGTTATACTTGCTTGATCTGCATATGAGGGTAAGTTTGAGAGACCCAGACGTGTACTCTATAGAAAAGAAAGCTGACATCGAATTTTGAGGGAATTATCCGTGATTTTTAAATTTGGAAATAATATATAAATAATTACTTTTAAAAAATACAAGACATTTAGGTTCATCCTGAAATAATTGTTTCTCAGACATTAATAGCAAGATTTAGAACCAGGACTGCCACATATATTGGTGCAATCTGTGTCCTATACCAAGAGAACAAAAGGGGGCTAAGAGTCTTTCCTTTTTTTTTTTTTTTTATTGTTGGGGATTCATTGAGGGTACAAGGAACCAGGTTACACTGATTGCATTTGTTAGGTAAAGACCCTCTTACAATCATGTCTTGCCCCCATAAGGTAGTTTCCCAAGCCACGTGTCCTGCCACAGGGCTACCCAGAGAAAGAGGGGCTTTTCAGTAATTATCTACCCAGTGACAATACTTTTTAGCAATTTGCCTAGAAGGGTCAACATTTTGCAGTTGGCTCAAGGAGTAATGCATGCTAGCTGAACTCTATTTGGAACTCAACACTTAGAATTTTATTTGTACTAGTTTGTCAGCATAAGTTTTTCTTTTAAGTTACTGCAGAGAAACTTATTATTGGATCTTAGAGCTAAGTGCAGTGGCTCATGCCTGTAATTATAGCACTCTGAGAGGCCAAGGTAGGTGGATTGCTTGAGCTTAGGAGTTCAAGACTAGCCTGAGCAAGAGCAAGACTTCATCTCTAAAAATAGCCAGGCGTTGTGGTGGGTGCCTGTAGTCCCAGCTACTTGAAAGGCTGGGGCGAGAAGATCACTTGAGCCGAGGAGTTTGAGGTTCTTGTGAACTATAACACCATAGTACGATACTAAGGGGAGTGTGACAGATAATGAATGGATGAGTGAATATTATTGGATCTTATCTAAAGATGGTTCTATGGTTTCTAAAACATGAGACTATAGAAATGTAATTCAGAAGAATAGCACAACTAAAACTCAGCAGAAATGTATACTTCTTTAATTCTTTTCACAAGGTCCTGTACTGTGGATAAGTATGAACTAATTCTCTAGGTGTTAATCTTGAAAAGGGAACAGCTATGATTCAGACTGATTGCCTTCCATCCTGATATTATAGTCTGATGTTAAAAAACCATTGAGAACCGAGTTGTGTAAGACATGTGAAATTAGAATAGAGTAAGTGATTTTATTCTAGACTGGTAAGTAAGACACCTGTAGTAATTGTACCACTAATTCACTCTGCCCCAGTGCAAGTAATTTAACCTCTCTGGGCCTCAATTTCCATATCTATGAAGTGAAAGAAGTACATGAAATTTAAGGTCTCTTTCAGTTCTAAACATTCTGTGATTTACAAAAAAATAAAAACTTTTCTAACCAGATTCTTAGTTGTTGTTAAATAAATTAATGAGACACATTCTGTTTTAAATCATGTGAGCTAAATAATGATTTTTGCATACTTGTTCTTGTTTTTCAGAAACTCTGCGAAGGTATATTTAAAGTCCTTGTAAAGGATGTCCCAACAACATGTCAAGTGTCCTGCCTGGAAGTACTCCGCATTCTCTCCAGAGACAAAAAGATTTTAGTTCCTGTAACAACTAAGGAAAATATGCAGATACTGCTGCGACTAGCCAAGCTAACTGAGTCGGATGAGTCTTTGGAGAAGGTGTCAGAGTTCCCGGTTATTGTGGAGTCATTAAAATGTCTGTGTAACATAGTGTTTAACAGTCAGATGGCACAGCAGCTCAGCCTGGAACTTAATCTTGCTGCAAAGCTCTGTAACCTCCTGAGAAAGTGCAAGGACCGGAAGTTTATCAATGACATTAAGTGCTTTGACTTGCGCTTGCTCTTCGTCCTGTCACTTTTACACACTGACATCAGGTCACAATTGCGCTATGAGCTCCAGGGACTACCGCTGCTAACCCAGATTTTGGAAAGTGCCTTTAGCATCAAGTGGACCGATGAGTATGAATCGGCCATAGACCATAATGGACCTCCTCTCTCACCTCAGGAGACAGACTGTGCCATTGAGGCCCTCAAAGCTCTCTTCAATGTGACAGTAGACAGTTGGAAGGTGCATAAAGAGGTAAGAAGAATATCCTTATCTATCTAGAATTTAATTGGTTTGAGTTATCCATAGAGCTACCTGCAAAGGAAAAATACTAAGTTGGGAAATGGATAAAGTTCCCAGGTCCAGGCAGCACCTGAGGCTCAAAGGAGTAGGGTGCCATCCCCATATGCTGGAGGTGGCAGGTTCAAACCCAGCCCAGGCCAAAAACCACAAAAAAAAAAAAAAAATGGTTCCCAATTCCTCCATTAATCAGTTTTATGAAAGAGTTTTCATTTCTTAGCTTTTACAAGTCTTATTCTTTCTACCGTATTTGTAGCTTGTATATCAAGCACCTACAAAAGAATACAGTGAAGATGAACTACTAGGGCTGGGCATGATGGCTCACACCCAAGATCCCAGCACTCTGGGAGGCTGAAGCAGGTAGATTTCTTGAACTCATGAGTTTGAGACCAACCTGAGCAAGAATGAGACCCTGTCTCTAAAAAAAAAAAAAACAAAACTGAGCATTGTGGCAGTTGCCTGTAGTCCCGGCTACTTGGGAGGCTGAGGCAAGAGGATTGCTTGAGCCCAAGAGTTTGAGGTTGCTGTGAGCTTTGACACCATGGCACTCTGCCAGGGACAAGAAAGTGAGACTCTGTCTCAAAAAAAAAGATGAATTACTATTTTGTATGATGTCAAATATAGTTAGTTTTCTGAGTTGCACTATCACTTGTCTCTTAAGAGTGCCTCTTTTCGGGGACAAAGTTTAAATGACAAGATTTGAAGGGAAACAAAACAATGTAGTTGATTAAAGGTATTAGCATCTTCAGTGGTTGCCATCTTAAGGTAAATCAAACGAATTGAAATTGATCAGTCCGAATTAATGTCTGCTCAGAAGAGTAAATGATGCTGTGTCTGCATGTTATCCAGTCCTCTTAGGGTGTAGGTAACTGTCAGAGTGTGGTACTATAGCTGGTGTCTGTGCTCATACACAAGTCCTAGAAAACAAGCATAAATACACCCAAGGGTGGGGAAGGCTATTTTAAACCACTTGACTTATTTCTATTTGACAATCCTTTTTTGCAGCTTAGACCTTCCCAGCAATCTAAAGTGAGGCAGATTTGACAGTTTATATTTGAGTTAGGATCCACAAGAACAACAAGCTGAACAAGAAACTTCATTTAAGGAAGTTAACAATTTTAAGTGCAGTGGATGTAAACTCTTTTCCTTCCTTCTAGAATCATAACATTTCACATTTACTCTCTCTTTTTAACTTAAATAACTAGTGAAATTTAGTTCCTGCCTATAAAAAAGGTGGGGCTGTTGGGTATCAGAGCAAATTATCTTTTCTGACAATGGACATGGACTTTAAGATTTAGGCTAACATTTTACTGTGTCCATCTCAAACAGTTCTCACCCATAAATAAAGATCTGTTTTTGCCAGCAGCCTACTTTAAAAGGATTATCTCAGTGCAGTGCTATAGTGGGAGTATGCAGACATCTGAGTTTTAGAGTGCAAATAGATCTGTATTTTGAAACCAAATATTTGAAGATCAGTCCTAACAGCTGTTTTAGATGATTAGTATGGTCAGTGTTTCCTGAGACTTGGCAGAAAAAGATGTGGAAAGCCCACATGCTCCATTTAAGCTTTGAAACCAAATATTTGGAAGTATTTAAAATGTTATGTCTCTATGTTTATTTGGTACCTTCTATGGTTATTTTTCTTATGCTGTTTGTTTTGATGTTTGTATGTTTTTCATTTAGTTGCAAGAGCTCCTCTGAGACTGTTGGTTTGTCACTGTTATAAGCCCTGTTATTTAAATTATGGTCAAAATAGTAGCTCACACTATTCAGATTCCTGACAAAAAAGGTTTAAAATTGAGTGGCTCCACATATCTAGTATATGTACTGGATAACAGGTAATAAATACCAGTAAGTTGAGATTAGCTCTCATTAATGGGCTTCAGTTACAAGTAATATTAGGGCTAAAAGAACCTTTAGGAAATGTTAAGGTAACAAATATTCATTGTGTTATGGAATATTTATCCTGTATCAGACACACAACAAAAAAATCAGTAATCCTAGAGTATTTCAGATCTAGTACTGATTAGGAGTCCTAGATCAGTTCATATAGCCATTACAAAATGTACATAGTTAATATGACCCTGGGCCTATTATTGAAGTTTTCAGAGATGTAAACAGTATTAAAAATAGGATTTTTGCCAACCCGTGTAGACAAGAATGTCTTTGAGGTTCCTGTGAACTATGACACCATAGTACGATACTAAGGGGAGTGTGACAGATAATGAATGGATGAGTGAATATTATTGGATCTTATCTAAAGATGGTTCTATGGTTTCTAAAACATGAGACTATAGAAATGTAATTCAGAAGAATAGCACAACTAAAACTCAGCAGAAATGTATACTTCTTTAATTCTTTTCACAAGGTCCTGTACTGTGGATAAGTATGAACTAATTCTCTAGGTGTTAATCCTAGAGATCCTGAGTTTCCAAATTCAACTTTTATCAAAGTTTAGTCATTCACTCAATTCAGTGAACATTTGTAGGCAACTGCTAGATATTATACTGGGTATTGTGAAATATATTGGTATGAAACTTCAATTTTGTAGGTGAGATAGGTAATAAATTAGTAAACAGACACATAGGGTGGGCATACAGTTTGTGCGCAGTGCAATTTCAAATTGCACACGAACTTTATGGCCACCCAGTATAATTCAAATTGTGTTATGTGCTAGGAGAGAGATGGTACAGTGACTGGGAATACTTAGTGTAGTCAAAGAAGACTTCTGAAAGTCTCCTCTGAGATCTGAAGACTGAAGAGGATTTACCACATGAAGAATGGGAAAGTGAACATTTCATTGAAATTGAACGGCATATGAAAAGACACAGAAATCAGAGCTTAGAGTACTTTTTAGTAAAGTACCAACAGCTTAGTGTAAAGAAAGTCTTTAATCAGTGTGCAGAGAAACTTGCTGCTAAGAGTTCATTTGCCTAGATTTTAGTATCTCCGTGTTTGTCATTCAAAAGAGATTTAATTTCATTTGGGCAAACCCCTAAAGAGTTATCAGTACTTTAAAGCACCGTCTGAAATAAAGAGATATGAAAAATTTCACAGAAAAATCTAGCTGTAAAAATAATGTTATTGTAATTTAGATTTCATTTGGGGGAGAAAAAGGGTTCTGCAACCAAAAAAAAAATTTTTTTTGACAATTCCCTTCTATCTCCTATTTGTTAAAGGCAGTAAATCCTTATGAAAGAATACTCAGAAGTATAAAAAGACCTATGAGAATAAAGAATATTCATAAACATAATATTTATGAGAATTTCTTCGTAAGGAAAGTTTTGTCAGTCTTTAACTGACAGTTTTGTCTTTAACTGCCAAAACAAATCCCTCTTTTGGAAGCACTTAAGTTATTTGCAATTGCTTGCTATTTTGAGTACTGATACAGTGAATTCTCTTACAAAACTTCTGTAGATACACTCCCCAAAATGGTGGGCTAGAGGGTTTCAAAATTTTAAAGATTTTTGGAATATATTTCCAAATTGACCTTCAGAAAAATAGTGCTGATTTATACCTTTCCAAACCCTGGGCATTTTACTTTTTAAAATATTTGCCTATTTCACAGCTTGACAGTTTAGAAAATACAGACACTTGGTTTGCATCTTAACTGTTTTGGTAGGTATTTTTATGACTGCTTTCATTTACAGTTCACCAAAAACAGAAAATTAATGACTAGGTTTTTCTTGAGGTTTAGCAAATTAGTGCCATTTAGATTCATTGTAGATTCATGCTTCAGTGCTTAGTTCCTGCCTGCTGCTGATGCCATTAGCAGATTAGTTTGGCGATTTCTTTTCAGTTAATGGGAAATGTAGCTAGCCTTATTTCTATGTGTGGAATCAATCTTTTTTTCTCTGCCACTCTTGCTCTCTGTCTCCTTTTTGTAAAGATGGTATGTTTAAAAAGGTCAGTTGGTTGATTCCTTTAGCAGGTTATAAAGTTCATTCTAGAAAAGTTAGTTGAAATGGTCCTGTCTTTCTTCTGCTTTAACATTGTCCTAAATCTCTCTGTTGATGGAGGACAGCATGTTATGCTAGGGATCTCTTCCTTAGCACACATTTCCTTCTCCAGTGCTTCCCAGATAATCAATGCAACATAATAAGAAAGTAAAATACCAGCAGACGTGTTTTAGCCAGACAAGCAAGTGCAAAGAAGTACAAGTAGCTGAGTAGTCAGAGGATGCAATTTGAATGGAATACAATAGTGAATGCTTGTAAATGTCACGTTGTAACAGAAGACGTTGGTTCCATGATTATTTTAGAGATTTTGAAGGAAATGTTAAAAGAAAAAAAAGAATAGGATATTAATTAAATAAAAATAAAACTTCAAGATACTCAGTGTTCTCTTGCTTAATCATTTTTCAACATATCTTTTGGTCACCCGTTTGTACCAGTTTCTACATTAGGCACATGAAATGCAGGGTAAAATATCACTGTCCTCAAAGAACTAATAGTCTGCTAGGGAAACTAGATACATAAACAAAGATGAGGTTGGGCACGGTAGCTCACGCCTATAATCCTAGCACTCTGGGAGGGGCCGAGGCAGGTGGATTGCCTGAGTTTAGGAGTTCAAGATCAGCCTGAGCAAGAGCAAGACTTTGTCTCTAAAAAAAAAGCCGGGTATTGTGTTGGGCACACATAGTCCTAGCTACTTATGAGGCTGAGGCAAGAGGATCACTTGAGCCCAGAGTTTGAAGTTGCTGTGAGCTATGACACCACAACACAATGCTGAGGGCGACAAAGTAAAACTCTGCCTCAAAAAAATAAAACAAAAAACCCCAAAGATTATTTGCTTCTATTATTTGCTATTCTATATAAATTAAAAAAGGAATCACCTCAGCAACACACAGCATCTTCAAACACCATGTGTTCTAAATCTTTGAGCTTTCTCTTAAGCATTGATTAGATAGGCTAAAGTTTTATATGAAAAAGTATGAGAAAATTGATACCAAATAAAAGTGAAATCTTCCACAGTTTGCACAGGAGGAAAAGGCAGTAGTATAATAGTGGAATCTATAATTGAGAGGTGAAGGCTATGACCAGCCTGAGAAACATAGTTAAACCCAGTTCTATAAAAAATGAACAAATTAGCCAGGCCTAATTTGGCCTGGAACTAGTGCATACCTCTAGTTCCAGATACTCAGAAGTCTGAGGTAGGAGGATCGTTTGAGCTCAAGAGTTTGAGGTTGTAGTGAATTATGATGTTGCCACTGCTCTCTAGCTCAATTGACAGAGTGATAACCTGTCGCACACACAAAAAAGCAAAGGCTGTTTAAAGAAATACCAAAGAATTCCCTGAGTTTTTATGTCACTTTTAATGTTATCTCATATTTTTAATTTCTACTGTCACAACCAAGCCTGTTTGCTTGTTTTTCCCACCTTTGTCCTTAGGGACCACTTTTCCTTCTCAGCCTTTGAAGGTGGTATCATTTTAGAGGAAAGAATATCGATGCCTAAAGATATCAAAACTAAATCATGAAACAAGTAAAGTGGTTATATAAGCTGTGTTTGAATAATGTTTTATAAAAAGCAGTCATAGTACATCTTTGTGAGATGGGAACTTTAGCCCCATTTGATACATGAGGACACAAGATCAGAGAGTTTAGATTACTTATGGAAAGTCACACAGCAGAATAACCAACAGTAGGAAACAGTATCCACTTTAACCTTTATTAAATAAGACTTTGCAAATGATAGAACTCGTTCAACAAATATTTATTGAGACATAAGCTAATAGAATAGAATAAAGATTCTATAAATAAACTTGCACATATATAGTCAGCTTATGATAAGGTAACATTGATGTACAGTAATGAAAGGATAGGCTTTTAACAAATGGGGTTGGACCAATTGTATAGCCATATGGGGAAAAAATGAATTTGGGTCCCTAACTTATACCATACACAAAATATTCAAGATAGGTAAGAGACTTAACACATTGCCACACAGAAAAGAATATTTTTCCTTGGGTCCACGATGTTTTATCATGAAAATAGAATAAAAACTTTGAAAACAAAATGATCCTAAAACACACATCAGTTAAAAAGTAATATAAAAACTTGAAAATTAGTAATATAAAAAGTAATGTGAAAACTTGAAACGTAGTTCATAACTCACATGGCAGTTAATGTTAAATATGCAAGGTAAAATTATAAAACTTATGGAAGATTGTTTATATGACTTTATCTTAGACAACTCAACTATTTCTTAAATAGGCAAAGATTTCTCATAATAGGACAAGTTAAGAATTGTACCAACCATAAAGGAAAAAACTGACAACTTACCTTCATTAAAATGAGTTAATTAAAAGAATAAAGTAACAAGGCAAGCCACCAAGTGGGAGAAGATATTGGTAATACATACATACAGTAAATGACTCTATTCAGAATACATTAAAAAAGTCCTACAGACCTATAAAAATAGTCAACTCAATAGAAAAATAGGCGTGACAGAACCTCATGTTTGTATAGATACTTATGGGGAAACTGAGGCTCAGTGAAACTGTTTGACTTATTGAAAATCATAATCTACACTTCCATAGTCTGATCCCAACTATACTGCTTTTTTTGTCTCTATGCCATTGAGGCCTTCATCTCTTCCAAATCTACACACAGTGGTGATGTGCATTTTGAATAGTGAAAATGTGCCCTAATTATTTGTTAGATTTTATGAGAATGGCTATGTAAGTTACATATATGAACATTGGACGTATGTATATAATTTGTGGAAGCATGAGGGCTATCCAGAAAGTACCCAGCCATGTGTGTCTATTTTTCATATTATATAGCTGGATACTTACCAGATAGCATTTGTATTTCACTTTATATGGACTTAAAATCAATTATATATTAATTTTCAAAATTTTAAAATAGCTTTAGAAGTAGTTGGAGCCTTCCTGAAGTATGGCATATCCAGGTTCTCTGTCATAATTATCTAATTTCATGTGTCTTCTTAATTACTTAAAATCTGGAAGACAAGAGATGTGACCTTCATGTGGATGATTAAAGACATTGTAATAGTAAAAAAAAAAAAGTAGTTGTAATGGTTCAAGATCTCACTATAATGAAAAGGTAAATCAAATGATTATTCTCAGTTTCTCATGCTACTGCCAACGAGTAAATGTGGGAGATTGCTTAGTTTTCATTACTTGTGGGGTAGTTCTGGAGGAAGTTAGGATATTAAGAAGATTGATTAAAATGAAGTTGATGGATTTATTGCTTTCAAAAGTTACCAGATAAGCCATTTTTATTAAGGATGTACTTTAAAGCAGCGGTTCTCAACCTGTGGGTTGCAGCCCTTTTGGGGGTTTCCTGGGTATCAGATATTTACATTATGATTCATAACAGTAGCAAGATTACAGTTATGAAGTAGCAACGAAAATAATTTTATGGTTGGGGTCACCACAACATGAGGAACTGTATTAAAGGGTCACTGCTTTAAAGCTTTTGTGTTTACCTGGATGGAGCTGAAACACGTTCTATTTAGTAAAGTATCTTAAGAATGGGAGAAAACATGAGATGAAAGCTATGTTAATTAGTTGGACATAAGCACTCCAATTTGTACAAATAATCAACACATTGAATCCCACAAAGGCATTCATGATCTATGTATATTTGACTTAATAAAAGAAAAAAAAAAGAATGGGGGGGGAGAAAAAGAATGTACAACCAGCCTCTCAAATACCTGATAACATCACATCTATTTGAACTTTTATAATAATTGGTAAACTGAAACAGTATACCATAGAACAAAAGAATCTAGGCTTTCTGGAAATGAAGAAAATCCCTAATGGCATTGAACCTTAAGGTAAAACAGTAGCTAGATTAGCAACTACTGGCATGGGCCATTTCTAGAGGGGATTGTGGTTGTTCATATGAGATAGTGACTGTTTGTTTAGTATTGCCTTGAGAACTCTTCTTGTGATATGCCACATACAACGTACAGTATAAGAATGATTGTTTTGTGGGACAAGAGATACAGTAATACACCAGATGCCTCCATTAAGGCATTCAACCCCCAATTTTTCCTCTCTTTTTTATTTGCCATAGAGTGATTCTCATCAGTTCCGTGTCATGGCAGCTGTCCTTCGCCACTGTTTACTAATCGTAGGTCCAACTGAAGACAAAACAGAAGAGCTGCACAGGTGGGTAAGCTCTGTATTGCTGTCTCAATGAAGGACATCAACAGTTCTTGTCTTTATGCATCTAATTCTCATTGTTTATTATAGGAAAGTGAAATAATTACAGTAGATCAGGTAACTAGTAAGTCAGAAATCATTACCGTAGAAATCATAATCATGCCCTGATGAGAAATTTTTATTTGCCCCTTTGACTTTGTTATAGTTAAGTCTCAACAAGAGAAGATCATTTAGCTATTTGTTGCATTCAACAATAAAATTCAGAATAACAGTAATAATAACACATTATTAAATACCATGTGGCATTGTGCTAAGTACTTTATAAAAATTAACTTCTTTTAGTTATTGGTCCCAGTTTATGAGATAGGTACTTCTATTTTTCCCTTTCAATAGTAGATAGAGAAATTGAGGCAGAGAATCAAGCAATTTCTCCAAGATCACACAGCCCTAATAAGAGGAAAAGCTAAGATTTGAACCCTGCTTTTATTATAATTATTACACTTAACTAATGCTTACTAATTTTAAGAATCTTCACCAAAATATATGTCTTAGGCAATGATAATTTTTTTAAAAAACTTGTTAAGTATTAAAATATATAAAAATATATTTTAAAAAAACATAAAGTATGTTGAAAACACTATAGTTCAAGTTTTGTGACTTGTTAGAGCTTTAATAGACTACTATTAAAATGTATAATACTCTCTGGGCGTGGTGGCTCATACCTTTAATACTTGCACTTTGGTAGGATGATTGCTTGAGGCCAGGAGTTCAAGACCATCCTGAGCAACATAGCAAGACATAGCTGAGGCAGGAAGATTGCCACGGCCTAGGAATTTGAGGCTGCAGCGAGCCATGATTGTACCATTGCACTCCAGCCTGGGTAGCAGAGCAAAATCTTTCTCAAAAACAAACAAAAAAGGCTACACAATATACAAGGCATGTCCCAAAAGTCACCGTACATAGATAAAACAGGAAATTGTCAAAATTGACAAAATACTCATAGAATTTTACAGTGAGGTGGCCAACAGATAGGGAATATTTCGTAGAATTTTGTAATGGATATTTTGTTAAATTTTGCTGCATTTTCACTGTGTATATGACTTTTGGGACACCCTGTACATGTAACAGAAAATAAATAAATAAATGCTCATTTTGGCAGCACATATACTAACATGGATTTTTTTAAAGGTGTAATTTTTTCCTATAGCTACTAATCAAAGATTCCTTTAATTCTCTTAAGACTATCTTTAAAAAGTAATTGGATTAACTACAATAAATCGTATCTTTAAAAGATTTTTTATTATTGATACATTGTAATTTTTTATCATATTCAAGAGACACTAGAAATCTAGACACTAAAAGTCAAAGAAAATGGGCTTTATAAGCCCAGGAATAAATTGTTGTTGGTTTCTTGTGGTGCTGTTTTTGTTTTTTGGTAAATCAGATATTGCAAATTACATAGTCACATGAAGTGCAAGGATATGAAGCTTTATGACAAGAATTGCTACACTAGTTACAAATACATTGCCGAGGACATCTCTGAATGACATAGAACTCAGTATTTGTCAAAAGAGAGCAAAAACTACACAAAGTTTTTAAAATCTAATTTTTTTACAAAGTAATGAGATATATTTTTCTCTGTGACATTTGCTGTTTTTCTTTAAAAAATTGTTTTCATCTTAAAATTGCTTTGATAAAAATCTGCTAGCTTTACTGTAAATAAGAAGGAGTATCCCTAGAGCCACAGACAGGATTTATGAGTATTTCTCAAAAGCTTTCCTGGGAGATTGAGGTTGTTGCTGACTTAACAGTTCTCTCTGGGATGACCTTGTGTGTCATTTTAATCAGAATTAAAGTGATTAGTATCATTTGAGCAGTAATGACTCTAATCCATTTAAATATAGAGAAAACGGCATGAACCTCAAAGGGCTATTTTAGAAACCTTATTAGAATTCTAATATCTCCTGAATTCTGCTCCTCTGTAATGACTCTAAAACAAATTTTTTTGTGTGTGGCACAAAAAAAATAAAAATAAAAGATATTTCAAAGTAACATCTTCTTTTTTTAAATTATATATTTGTTTTTTACTTTTGTTTTTTTGGGGACTTTTTTAAAATTTCAGAATCTTACAGGGGTGCAAATGTTTTGGTTACATAAATTGCTTTTGTACAGTTTGAGTCAGAGTTTTAAGTGTACCTTTTACCCAGATAGTGTGCATTATACCCTTTAGGTGTGAATTTACTTACCCCTTCTTGCTCCTCCCAACCACCTGATTTCCATTGAGTGTTATTTCCATATGTGCACATAAGTGTTGATTGATTAGTTCTAATTTAACAGTGAGTACATGTGGTATGTGTTTTTCTATTCTTGTGATACTTCACTTAGAAGAGTGTTCTCCAGTTCCATACAGGTTAATACAAGAGGTATTAGTTCACCATTTTTTTATGGCTGAGTAGTACCACATTTTATTAATCCACTCATGTGTTGATGGGCACTTGGATTGTTTCCACATCTTTGCAGTTATGAATCCTGCCTACTGTAAAAGCTCAGGTGTCTTTTTAAATAAAATGTCTTTTTTTTTTTCTTTTGGTGAATACCCAGTAGTGAGATTGCTGAATCAAATGGTAGGTCCACTTTTAGTTCTTCGAGGAATCTTTCTACTTAACATAGAGGTTCTACTAGTTTGTGGTTGCACCAACAGTGTATAATAACAGTGTAGAAGTGTTCATGTCTCTCTGCATCCACATTAACATTTCTTGTTTGGGGACTTTTTGATAAAAGCTATTCTCATTGAAAAAAAAAAGCTATTCTCATTGGAATTAGATAATATCTCACTGTGGTTTTGATTTGCATTTCCCTGATGATTAGACACGTTAAGCATATTTTCTTTTTTTTTGATCATTAGTCTATCTTCTTTTGAAAAGTTTCTGTTCATGGTCTTTTGTTTTAAGGAAAAATGTAATGAAATAGATAATTCTGGGATGCATAGTACATGGTTATACACCATCATCAAACCCAAAGGGTTGTAATGATGATTAAATGAGAAATTTATAAAGCCCTCCTTCCCTGGCACTGAGTAAGCTTTCAGTAAATGGGAGCTGCCACCACCACTGCTACATGTTGCCCCCATGCGTCTTCTATTACTGTTAGAACAAGCATACTAGCTTTTATATATTTATTCTTTTTAAAGACATAGTCTCACTTTATCACCCTGGGTAGAGTGCCTTGGCGTCACAGCTCACAGCCGGCGCTCTACCTACTGAGCCACAGGTGCCACCCCATACTGGCTTTTAGATACAATATTTACATCACTTTGAAGCTTTATTTTTTTTTTAAGTTGTTTCTTGATTTTGGTATTTTGCTTAGGAACTTATGTCTGTGTTTAGCCTGTGATCATACAAAGAAATCTGTTTTTGTCCATCTAAGTTACTATGAAGACAGGAATGTTTATGGACGTGCATATTAGGAACCTATAAAGGTGCTTTAGGAGAAGAGTAAGTAACAAACATAGCCTAGCAGCTTTTTCTGGTATATTGTCTTTATAAGACAGTGCCAGGGAGGCACCTGTGGCTCAGTGAGTAGGGCGCTGGCCCCATATGCAGAGGGTGGCGGGTTCAAACCCAGCCCTGGCCAAACTGCAACAAAAAATAGCCGGGCGTTGTGGCAGGCGCCTGTAGTCCCAGCTACTTGGGAGGCTGAGGCAGAAGAATCACCTAAGCCCAGGAGTTGGAGGTTGCTGTGAGCTGTGACTCAACTGCACTCTACTAAGGGTGATAAAGTGAGACTCTGTCGCTACACAAAGAAAAAAGACAGTGCCATTTCTTTTTTCCCATAGAAATCAAGAGGACATGGACATAGAAATAAAATGAGTTAACTCACAGGGACAGTAGACCTTTACCTTCATTTTCACTAATCAGCATTTTAGGTGATTTTAAAAATCTTTTTTATTCTATTTCATTTCCTTTTGTCTATATTTACAGAAACAAGTAGTTAGTTGTTGGGATGAATCACCTTTTTTGCTACATTAAAGGACATCCTAATTCTGTTCATCTCTACTGTCTGCCTAAAAGTATTTTTAGCACTTCTATTCATAATCAATAATCTTTTGCATAAACAGCTTTCAAAATTTCTATGTAGGCATGGTTTTGTTTATTTTTGGAGAGAAAGGGAAAAATGGGGATGGCGTATATACTGATGAGAAGAGGAGAATGGAGGGCCAGATCTGATTTAATGTATTTTAGGCTTTCAATCTAGTTTATTTACTGAGTACATGGACATCTACAAAGCTTTTTATTGTTACTGTTTCTTTGTTTAGACTAACTCATTTTGTCTCATATTGAAGGAGACAATTTAGTACCTAATGACACCTTATTACAATGCTAAATATGTCTTATACATGGGAGTTGGAATTTTTCTTCCACATTTTTTATTATAATAAAATATACTTAACATAAAATTTGCCATCCTAACAACTTTTAAGTGTACAGCTCAGTGGCATTAAATACATTTATATTGGAAGCCAAGGTAAGAGGATTGCTTGAGGCCAGGAGTTCAAGACCAGCTGATCCACATAGTGAGACGTCATCTGTAGGCAGGCATGGTGGCACACATCTATAGTCCCAGTTACTTGGGAGGCTGCAGTAGGAAGATCGCTTGAGCCCAGGAGTTTGAAGCTGTAGTGATCTATGGTTTTGCCACTGTACTCTAGCCCTGATGACAGTGAGATCCTGTCTCAAAAAAATAAAATAAATGTATGCATACATTTATATGTACACCCAACACACACACACACACACACACACACACACACACACAGGCAAATAACATCACCACCATCCATCTCTGTAACTTTTTTCACTTTATAAAACTGAGACTCTGTACTCATTGAACACTAACTCCTCATTCTTATCTCTCCCCAGCCCCTGGTAACCAACATTCTACTTTCTGTCTCTGTGGATTTGACTTCTCTTAGGTACCTAATAATATGAGTGAAATTATGTAGGATT